CTCTGGCCTGTACCCCAGCTCTTGTATACATAAATAAATCTTAAAAAAAAAAAAAGTAATAGAAAAAGTAAATGATACAAATTAAGTAGGAAAAATGGGACATAACATTGTCATAAGACCTTGCCTATGTTAAAACAATACTTAATGCTACTTTATGCTTTTGATAATGTCTTAATTATCTATTTAATTGGTCAAGTTATGTTTTTGAAAGTTCTTGAATTTATTATGATAGGTTAACTGGATGAACCTTGAAGGCTACAAGATAACTTCCTCATACAAAATTTTAATATTCCAATTAAAAAAACATACTATTTAAAAAATTCCAATAAAGGGTAGCTGAGTTTGGAAAAACAGGAACTCTTACACATGGCAGGTGAAAATGTAAATAATAATTCGTATAGAGAGTAATGGAAACAATAGGCAGCAAAAGCCTTTAAAAAAGAAGTAGATCCTTTTGATTCCAAAAGTCCACTTTCAAGGATCTGCCCTAAGCTAACAGCTGGAACTGTGTATATAAGGGCCATTCACCTGTGGGACATAGGCATAAAATAGTGAAAAACCAAAGAAAATCTAAAGGTCTTGCAACATGGTTTTAATAATGTACATCCAACAGCATTTATATTTGGGAATATTATGTAGGCATTAACAATCAGGTTGACAAAGGAAAAGGATCAGGTTACATATAAACAGGAAGATTACAAAATAGATTGTACAGTATGATTCCAAGCTTATTAAAAATGAGGGGCTGGGGGAGAGAAAGGAATAAGAAGTGAGTATGCCTATTCAAAGTCTCAAAATGCAGACAGTGACATCACTGGATTATATTTCCTTTGCTGTTCTTAAAAAATTTACAACAGACATAAACTTTTTATAAATGGAAATAAATTATGTGTATTCTGAAATGTTTTCAGAATTAAGAATGGGCCTTTAATTTTAACTATGTGTAAACAGAGCTGTTCAAACACTCCTTTAAACAAAACTGTTTCAACCTCTTCTTAGGTAATCATAAAATTAATTCAGAACTGAAAGTTTTAATAAGACAGTTAAAAAAGAGTGTTTGCTTTTTCTCCATCATTTCCCTCATCTACTACTTATAACATTATCATTGCAATGATCAGCATGCATTTGCCATTAGGTGGTGGTTGAAGGTAATCTCCCACATGCTTTAAGGATAAACTAGCAGTTCAATTAACCAGAAACCAATAACCTGGAACACTAAGCAAATTATATTTCCTTTACTGCACCTTTAAAAGATAAGGGAAAACAAGCTTCCACCAAGGATTCAGTCAAGAGGGAAAAATCCCTGCATAGGTTGTGGGGTTAGCAGAGATTCATCTCAGTATCTACGTCCTAACACTGCCAGGCAGTGATCGATCAGGAACAAACAGAATAAGGACCTGACTCACTGAAGAGTTTTAACGAAAGTAAAAAAAAAATCAACTACTTAAGATAAAAATATCTTAATTTTTAACCTAAGATAAAAATATCTTTATTTTTAACATGAGTGAAAATAAAAACTTCTGGTAACATTTAGATATTGTGAAATTCTCATTAAATAGACCAGAATGTCCCCTGAAAATTCTGGTTTTTCATAATTGCATTGTAATATGAAACTGATAGCCAAACCTCCCCTGGAGAGTTTTAATTCATGCCTTTAACCAAAAACCCAAAACAATAACCACCTCAATCAATTGGAGGTTTACCTGGTCAGCCACTAGGCAAGTAAAATAATCTCAGAATGTAAGAAGTGCTATTCATGAACTATATATGAAAAAATTGAGATATAAAGATCTATGCCTAAAACCACAAGATTTTGTGGCAAGAGAAAGACTATTAAAAAACCTAATTTCACATAAATAGTGATTTCCTAATTTAAAGCAGCACACGGAATTCACAAAAAATCAAAGGCAGCAAAAATCACCAAAGAGTTGGAAGGCTATGAACAGGTGCTAATACAGTGGCTTCCTTAACCTCTGATCCCATAGTGGTACTTGTTAGAGAGAGTGTGGCAGGTATGAATGTAGGGGACCCTACAAGGAACAGTCTATGTGGTCTAGGGAGATCTGTATCATGTGTAGTTTTAAACAGAACCATGTTTCTAGAAGCTCTTTAAAACAAAGGCAGTCCACATAAGGTTGCCTACTATGATAAAATGGCAGGCAATGTACTACTGCATAGACCCCTGTTCTCCAAATCACAAGAGGATCCTGCCACAAAAATCCTCTCTTAGACAATGAATTTCTTTCAGAGAACATTATCTACTTCCTCATTTTTTCAACCTTCTATTATATCAGTCCTTCATGTCTATTTAATCCTGAACTCTACCTGCAACCTTCCAGTATAACACATCTACTGGTATATTTGAATTTTTCAGCAATTCTTCAAAGCTCTATCCATCCAAATTTTGCTTGTACGTTTCAACTACTTATAATCATGATCACATGTTCAAAAATGATTCTCAGCAGGGATAGCTTTAGTTTCCTTAGTTCCTTAGTTTCCAGGACTATAAGCTCTTGCATGCTTCCTAATTATACCATCATTTCCTTTTGTACCACCTACCTATTCCTTACTTTTCAAACGCCTCTCCACTTTTGCCATCTAGTCCAGTCAACTCTTGCTTGAAACACAGCTGTACCATTCACCCTTTTCTCAGAAATAATATTCCCGTACAGTGATTCCTGAAGGCTGCCAGGAGGCAAGCCCATTTGGTGACTGGTGATCATCTCTGATTTCAAATCCCAAAAATGACTTCCTATTCTTCATTTCAGCCTTGATTTTCAATCACAGATTCTATGCATATCAGAGTACAGCAGAACTATGAGTGAAAAATTCCCCAAAACAGACTCAGGTAGTTAGGATCCTGGAAGGACCTGCTCTTCCTCTTATCTCACCATTTCATGGTTGCTCAATTACTCTTTTTCAGAGTCTTTTGAATTCTTATCCATGATTGGGAGGGTTAGTGTAAAATTTATCAATTGTTGTTTCTGGTTAATGTTAAATTTCCAGATGCTTCAGGAGACTCAATGCTAGGTTGTTTATTATTTCTCAAAATTGTTCCTTATTAGACCACCTCCCCACCACCAGTTATGACTCACATTATTTTCAGTTTTTCTTTATTTCAAGCTCTAGCCAATCCATTCTTCAAAGCCCATTTCAAACAAATCATTTCAAATAAACCATTCCAAGTTCTACTTGAGTGTGAAGAGCAAGCATTTCTTAACTCGAAGTGTACTTGTACATAATCTACCCAAGAGCAGAACTGTTTTTCCGTCTCCTCCCCAATTCATTTAGCACAGTTAGCAGGCATCTTGTTGGTGGGTGATGAAAGCACTGGTTCGATTAACCTATTTTCCACTAACTTAATTTACTGCTATCACTTGAGTAACCAAAGAAAACAGACCTCACCCAAAATATGCCCCATGTTACCAAACAAAAGCTAAAGATGTTTCCTAATGATAACAGCCAAATTCCTTTGATTATAGCTAACACTTTCTTTTCCTCGTGGACAAGGACACAGAATCAGATTGGTAACTTGCCTACAGTTAGTGGGGGGTAAAAAGGATATGATCCAGACCTGATTGGCTTCAAAATCCATGCTTTCCCCACAAAATCTAGTTATCCTGTCAACTTAGGCGGGTTCTGAAGAAAACTGGGAGTTTTAGCTTGATTTCTCATATATATGATATGTATAGCAGCCAACAACAAAACCCATCCCACTTTCCTTAAGCAAGTGTAAAAGAATACTTTAAGTTTTTTATTCTAAAAGAAATCAGTATTCATAATGAACACTTTATTGAGGATATTTACCTTAGTACTTCCTAAAGATCAATTTGAAATGACCTTTTAAATCCAACCGACCGTGTGTATTATAGAGCAGCTACCAATTTCTCTCAAATGTTCTACTTGGGATCTTTCACAACTTGCTAGTATTACACTGGGGAGTAAACTAGCCACATCAGACCTGTTGCAAAATAGGTCTTTATTTAAGTCAAGTCTTGCTCTAACACCCACCCAAGTTAGGGCACCACGTGCCCTAAAATGCTCTGCCTTTAATTTTTATAGCCATGTCTTTGATTGCCCGGTTCTCAGTTTTCCCGGTTGTAATCTTCTGCAGGCCTGACTCCTCAAGTTTTCCCTGAAACTCGTAGCCCTTGAGGGCCCTGCTTTGCAAAGTGCATCAGAAATACAAGAAACAAACCAAACCCAGGGGGCAGTAATTAGACATTTCGAGTCGTGCGTCTCCGTCCGCCCAAGTTAGTTAACGCAGACACTAGGCCCTCCCCCCACCCATTCTACAACAGCAGACCCGTTTTTCTGGCAAGCTGGAGAACGGAAACCACAGCACGGAAACTCAGGACGGAGTTCACAGATAACGAGTTAAAGACTTCACCCCCGCAGAGGGAGCGGTGGAGCATTCAGCACGCCAAGACGATACTTTCGAAACTGTCACTAGACAACTCAAAGCGGAGTCTCCCGCCCAAAATATTACGGCACATGGCAAGTTAAAACAGGGCCTCCCTCCTGCGCGCCCGTCCGGGAAGGATGCGGAGTGACTGTCTGATCCACCAGACTGGGAGGCGGTGAAAAGGGAGCAGGAAATCCCGTTTATTTCCAGCAGTCTGCAGAGCGGGAAAGGTCCGTCTCTATCCGGAGACGAGCCAGGCTTCACTTCCAGGGCCTGGGAAGGGAAAACCCAGGCTCCCCCGGCGCCCTGGAGCTCGCCCCCCCGCCGGGAGCCCCCGTCCCACTCGGGCGTTCCTCCCCCCGAGCCCCCTCAGCGCCGCGCCCGCGCGCCCATTATCCCTCCACTGCCCCCACCCGCGCAGGCGCAGAGGGAGCCCGGGCCTACCCGCGCCCCCGAGGCGCCGCGACTATGGCGGAGCCGGAGCAGGCCGGCAGCCGCTCCGCGCCGGGCGGGCGCCCCTCCGCCGTCCCCACGGCCTCCCGCCCTCCGCCGAGACCCTCTCCCCACCGGCCGGCCCCTCTTTCGCCCTCCTCACCCGTTCTTCAGATCCACCTCCAGGATCTTCCCGTAGCCCTTAAAGAAGCGCTCCACATCGCGCTCCCGGGCCTGGTAGCTCAGGCGCCCAATGTACACCCGCGGCATCCCGGCAGCTGCGGCGACGGCTCGGCCCGGCCCCAGCCCCCCTTAGGCGGCGGCCGGCGAAGCGAGAGCGCGGCGGCGACGGCGACGGCGGCGGCAACGGGCAGGCGGCGGGACGGACGTAGCCGAACCCCGGCGACGTACGCGAGCACGTAGGTCGCGAGCGCGCGCCTCCCGCCTCCCCCGCCCTCCCCTCAGGCGGAGGGTAACGGGAGGGAGCGCGCGTTCGCTTCCCGCCAGGCCGGGGGTGTGGGCGGGGCTTGTCCGGGGGCGCGCCGGCGCGAGGCGGGGCCCGATGATCGACAGGCGGGGCCGGCCGCACCCCCGGCTCGTCCTCTTGCGCTCGCCGCGGCGGGGCCCGCCCCGCCCTCCGCAGGCCGCTGCCTCCGCCCTTCCCCCCGGAAGTGTCCGGGCCGTCCCGGCCGGGCGAGCGCGCCGGCTTTTGTCCTTTGAACCGGGGGTGGTTTCGATTTTGAGCAGGAGCTCGGGGATTAAACCTGCTTCTGAACGTCTCAGTGCCTGTGACCTTGAGCTCGCTGCGCGCCGCGCTGAGCTTGGGCTTCTCTGTGAAAGGGGATCGGAATTCCAGCCTTCCAGAGCCGGCCTGGAATCACACGAGAAGCGCGTGGAACAGGCCGCTCCGGCGCGGCGCAGGGCCCGGCCCGGGACACCAGCACTGTTTTTAAAGCAGGACACTTTGCTTAAAGGGAAGCAGAGTGGGAAGTGAAGGCTGGGGCTTTGGAGCTAGACGAGGCTCGGCACTGACCAATCTCACCTATTTTCTAATTTGTAAAAATTAATTTATCCCATCTCGATGGACCGCCAGGGTGACGGGCTGGGGTCGTGCCTGTGGCAGTGCGCGGAACAGCGTCTGGAATGTGGTAGCTCAATACATACTGGTTTCCTTTTCACTAGCCCAATTTACCTAGAACCACAAAAGAATTTTCTTTGCTATTTTCATTTATTAAATTATATCTAGAAAGGATAATTCATTCACTAGTTCTAATGATACACAGTCAAGTCTCTGGTAGCCTAGTGTCCCTCCCCAGAGACAAAGTAATCAGTTTTTAAATGTGCTTTCCCAGGTATTTTACACATATCAAACACAGAAGTATACTATACATTACAATTCTGCACTTTATTTCGAAAAATCACTCCCTAAGACTACAAAAGGAACTTACTCAGGAAGAATGGTATATTGTGGATCATTATATGCCACTTTATGCGTAACAAATTAATCAGTGCCCTAGAGAAGGACATTGAAATAGTTTCTAATCTTTTGTTACAACTCCAGAAGTGTGTTACTCTGTATGTACCTGTAGGCAGGATCTATTACTTGCAGTAAGACAATTGAGTCAAAGGGCGTCAGCCCTGGGGTTTTTATAGATATTGCTCAAGTCTCCCGATTTCCCTATCTCATCAATACTGTTATCAAATCTTATGATCTTCTCAATCTGATAGCTGAAAATTGGTTCTCAGGGTAGTTAAATTTTGAGTAGTGAGCCTCATTTCATATGCTTAAGAGATTTATTTCCCTTTGTTCTTCTGCCCATTTTTCCCTTACTAATTCATAGGAGCTCACTGCATATTAGGGTAGTCAGCTCTTTGCCAAATGAGTTGCAAATATTTTTTCCCAAATATTTGTTGACTTTTGACTTTGCCCAGTGGTTTTTTTTTTTTTGTCATGTTAAAACATTAGGTATTTATGGGATTAAATTTATCCATCCTTTTTCTTTTGTTCTGAATTTTGTGATGTAACTTCAAAGGCCTTTCTCACTCTGAGGTTTTGTTTTTTAAATGTCCTGTGGCTCATTGGTTACTTTTAGGGTTTATTTTTCTATTATAGTCTTTGATCCATTTGGAAGTTACTAAGATGTGAGGATCATAATATTCATAAGAACTAGTGTTAACCTGGATTGTCATCTAGTCTGTCAACCTGTTTTGTACAGATGAGAAAGAGAGCCCATAGAGGAGAAATGCCTGTTTCCAAAACCTGCTCCTCTTCTGAGTTAGTTCCCTCTTCGGGAACTCTACCCAGCAAGGTACCAAAGTACCTCTTTCAACCACGACATTCAGTCTGTCCTGTTGATTTACTTTTCCAAATGGTCACAGATCCTTTTACTTTTCTACTTTCTAAGCTAGTTCAGGCCTCACCATATTCTTTGCATATCAGGGTTTTTAACTTTTGTCTTTCCCATCACTTATCAGACTCTAATTACCCTGTTTTTTTATTCACTTGCTTGTTGTCTTTCTCCTCCACTAATGCCATGTTTTTTGTTTTTCTTCCTGCTGTAAACCTAGCACCTATGACAGGGCTTTTCACATAATTATTGTTTAAATTATTTATAAAAAGCTCTTTTATATGGTCTTCAATGGCATCCCTCCCTATTAACCCTTTTTTATGCTTCTCTGTTAGACATAGGGCAATTTCAACTCTCTTCTGATTACATGTCAATTCTTATTGAACAAAATTAAAAAGTTAAAAAAAAAAAAAAAGAAAAGGAAGCTGAAAGGCCAGCTACTGGGCCAAAATAATTGGGATTGACTGGTATGGGTGACCAGAGACGGTCAGGGGATCTGGCTTCTGGTGGCAGCTCTGCTGCATGCTCTGTGAGCAGCTCACTTCACCTCTCTCAGGGGCTTCCTCTTCTGTGAAACTGTGATGTTAAAACCTCAATGATCAGAGGCATTGTAAAAATCAAATCCTTTTCCACTGCAAAAATGAAAGTGCTTGTCCACGGCAAAGGGTTATGGACATAGAGAAATTTTCCTTCCCACTTACCTTTAGGTTAGCTTTGCTGTCTTCCCAGGATTTTCCTGCCTTCAGATGCAGGCAGGTGCTGTGCCAGGACTGATTCTCTCTTTTCCACCATTCCCAGCTGCTCTGGCTGGGCCCAGTGCCTTATCCCAGTGCATGGCACCCACCAAGAAGCATGGGGCTAGTGGGTGCTGCTAAGAGCTTCCAGGCACAAGAACAGGGATGCCTGATACCCAAGGTTTATCAAGAACCTTTTTCTTCTGGACCTCATTCTTTCCCCGAGGAAAGCAGACTTTATTATAATCTCATCTCCCAAGACACAAGTCAATCATCAATATCAAGGCAGTGGGTGTAGGTAGTCACCGCTGGATGCTCCCAGAAGACAACAGGGGGGGGCCAGAGTTGTGAGCCTCAGGGCTTCAGGTGTGCCCAAGCTTTGTGTTAGCAGGTAATGCTTATTTGTCTTCTTTTGGTCTTCTGAAGCCAAGCCTTCTTTTCTTTAGTCTTTAAAAAGGACATTGTTTACTTAGCAGGCCAGAGGAGTGGCCCCTTTACAGAGATTACTCAGCAGGAAAATAAAAAAACAATCTTCTACACTTGTGAAGCATGGAAAAGGTGATCTACTTTAAGTCAGATTCTCCTTTAACATTGTTTTGTTTCAGTCTTCCCCCGCAGGCCTGTTAAATGTTGGTAATCCCTACTTCATTCTTTGAAATTCAGGGGGGTTTTACTTATCTGAAATTCAGAAGCTAGAAAGTTTCTGGTTTTATCTTTCTCTAGTGCCTCATTTCTCCAAATTGTTCCCCAACCTGCTGCCAGAGGGATTTTTCCAAAGCAGTTTTGATCTTTTGGCTCAGGAACTTTTTGTTCCCTACTGCCAACAGGATAAAGTCCAAATTTCTTAGCTGGGATCACAAACTGCCATAATTTACTTTTCCACTTTCAGATTGAGTCACTCAATTTCAATGTATATTAAATCACAGAATGTCTATCAGTTATTATTAGGTTCAGAGGAACCCCAAATACTAGGAACTTAAATAGAAACTTCTTTCTCAGGTAAAACCAGTCTTCTGGGTGTCAGGAACCCAGACTCCTTTGATTTTGTTGCTGTGTGCTTCTTAACATGGTCAAAGATGACTGTGCAAATTCTAGAAATTGTGTCTGTATCCCAGCCAGGAAGAACTTGGAAGGGGAAGAAAAGGTCCAGGAATGGTGTCAGCTAATATTTGAAAGAGGTCCCTAAGAAATGGACACCTATCACCTGTGCTGATTCACATGGGACAGACCTGTCTCCTCTAGGGGCGACAGGGAAAGTGTTTATTCCAGCCTACCAAGTGCCCACCTAAGGGTCATTCATTTTAATTATTGGGAAGAGAATGGATATTTGGGGAATATGAGAAGATTCTAACATAAATGTCCTGCCTCTGTAACTTTGTTTAATCTGCTCCCTTAGTGCTGCTTGACTCCTTGCCCTTCCTGAGAAAATTGTAATCACCTTTTAAAGTGCAGTCAGATGTCATCTTTGACCCCTATCAGTCATTCTCAAGACACTGCAGCCCCTCCAGGAGACCTCTAACCTGGTGTTAGGAACCTCCCTCCCTCCTGTCTGCCTCCTCTGGCAGACCCTACCAGGGGCTGCTCCCTTACTATGGCCCCAGGCTCGGCACTCCCCCTAGATCCCAACCTTGAGAATGTCCCTCGAAAAACCAATCTTTCCTATCACTCTTGTAGTGGTTAGCATCACCCCTCTCTTGGGCTTTTTCCCTTGTCCACACAGAGTATCTATAAAAATCACCCCTTGCACTGACCTCAAGAACTGGGGCTGGGAACTGGGGATGGGGGAGGCATTAGGGCTGGTAGGGGCTGACCCTGTACTCAGGTTTATAAGGTGAGAAATCTTTCCCAACCCAGACTGAACCTGAGTTCTTTTCTCCAGAGGACACACAAGATGCTGGCAAAGGCAAAGGATCATGCCGGGAGCAGCTGCACAAGTTTCATATAACTAAACTGGAGCCACTTTCCACATCGCTCTGCTGCCTACAATTCCTCTGTGCCTTCCAGGCCCTAAGAGTAAGTTTTGACTTCATGACCCTCCTGCTCTGACCCTGGCTCACCACGCACACTGCACTCCTCACAGCCTCCTACATCTCAGGTAGCGGCTACATGGGGCTGTTGGCAGTTCCTGTGTCAGCCCTCTAAGGCCACCAAACTCATATGTGTGCTACAGGCTTAGCTTGGTGCAATTTTCCTGCTTGGACTTCACAGATCTTCTGTGACAACTTCCTTGGGAAGCCTTCCTCTGGCCCTCGAGCAGATAAGTGGTGTCCCATAGCCCTCGGAACGCCTCCATGTTAGCAGCCTTGTTGCATACTGTCACGTCTAGGCAGCTCGCTGGTCAGCCCATCTCTCAATCAGCACCTCTGTCCTCAGGCACACAGTAGGCACTCAGTCATACCCCTTGAATGAGGCTCCTGAGCTAAGGGACAGAGAGGACCAGGTGATAAGGGAGATGCCCAAAGTCTCTAGTTCTTTGGGTGAATGGATTAGCAAGCAAAACTTAAAAAGTTACAGAATAGCAAAATCTTAGTCTGAATAAAGCTGCCTATTTCTCAGGGCCCACTTTCAAGCTTCACCTCAGGAAGGCTCCCCTGACCCAGGTCTAGGGTAACACCTCAGTTGCGCACTCACAGCATCTCATATGTGACTACTTTAGCGCACTAATCACTGTGGCGATTACTGGGGGATTACCAGTTTAATGCAGGGGTTCACAGCAGCACTGTGGACATTATGGGCTGGCTAGTTCCTTGGCGTGAGCTTGTTCTGTGCACCATGAACAACAATGACCTCTACCCACTGAGTGCCAACACTGACCTCTACCCACTAGCACCCTCTCATTAAGACAATCAAAAATGTCCCTGGAGGGCCTCCCTGGTGGCACAAGGGGTTGAGATGCAGCCTGTAAAGCAATCTGCAGCCTCTGCAGCACGAGTTCGATCCCCGGCCAGCCAGGGAGCAACCCACATGGCGCAGCAGACCTCTCTTGACTCGTCTGCTGCTCCCCTCAGCAGTGTATTTCAGTCATTCTGCCTGCTCTGTTCTTCACTCTGTCTCTGGTGGATCCTCTCACCCCCCACACCTCTGGCCTGTATCCCTGCTCTTGTATGCATAAATAAATCTTTAAAAAAAAGTCCCTGGACATGATCGATGTCCCGTGGGGCTAAAATGACCTCCGCCTGAGAACGGCTGGTGTGCCAGCCAGCTCCCTGGTTAGGAAGGACTTCCATGACAGTGGGCTAGCTGCCTGAGACCCACTGCCTTGTCCCTCAGCCTGGTATTCACTCCTCAGAAGTGAGTCCAATCTTCACAAGATTTCCCTTAGAGGGCCTGGGCAGCTTGAGGGTAGATGTGTGTCTTACTGCCTTTGTATGTAACCCGGCTTTGCTTTCAGAGTGGTGAAGGAATGATGGCCGGAGACAAATGGAAGACAGGCAACAAGGGGGCTTCTGAGCACTGGGAGGTGGCAGGTGCCCTGCGACAGTCCTCCTCTAAGAGGATGATTTCTGTTTGCTTTGTTTGGGCAAGTTCAGACTTTATTAGATACCCCGAGGCTGGTCCTGGGGACATGTCGGCTAGCTTCGCAATCTCCCAGTTGGGAGTGATGGTGAAAAAAGCTGTCTGGGGAAGGCTGAGCCCAGCAGAGGGGCCTGAAACCAGGTCTGCTGATCTGTCTCCCCTCCCACTTCTCTCTGGCTCCTCTGGGATTGTCACAGGGTGAGAATCTGCTTTGAAGATATGAAGGGCTTCATGCAGTCCTCCAAGGCACGCTGGTAGTCCTGCAGTGGGACCTCAGAGCAGGCGGGGGCCGTGAGCTGGCCCCGGCGGATGAGCTCGCACAGCGTGAGGATCAGCTCCTTGAACTGGTCTGTGGGAGGTTGGAGGAAGTCAGACAGGGAGCAGCAGCAGGACTCAGGAGATGACAGGCAACCCTTGCAACAGGAGCTGGCACTGAGCCCCAAGAAAGCCTTGAGAGTCCTGGTGTGGCCACAGATAGGGTGACTGCAGAGGCAGCCTGGTCCCTGCCTGTGTTCAGGACCATGAGGGTGTGCAGAGGAGTCTGGGGAGTGGCCCCAGGAGTGGAGCCAACGGGAAGGCAGAGTGGTGGCTTTGCTGGCTCAGACCCACAGAACCTGACTGGGCTCTGTAACCCTGAGTGTAAGAGGCGGGGAAGAGCAGGATTACTTTGCGGCAGTGAAGCCAGGAGAGGCACAGGCCGAGGTGGCTTGCCTGGAGTGCCAACTGATGTGGAACATGTGAGCCTGGCTTAGGGAAGGAGCTTCCCTGGAACCCAGGATATCCCTAGAGCCCCACAAGTTGAGGCCACCAACATCCCCTTCTAGGGCCTGTCTCCTGCTAAGGACCCAAAAAAGGCCTTGGTGGAGAAGCATTTTTTCAGACATACATTCATTTCTGTGTTCAAATCTGGTCAAGCCCCTGCTTAAAACACTTAGATGGCTCCTCACCAGCCTGGAAGATGGAGTCTTAACTCCTCAGAAAGTTTTATAAGGCCTTTCATAATCTGCTCACAACCTAACTGTGCAGCTTCTGACTCTCTCTGATGGACTTTTGCATACCGGCCTGTACCATTCCTTGGGTGGGAATAACAAGCCACTCAGTGCTCTGAGCCTTGGTTTCCCCCTGTCAAACAGGGCTGACAGTAGTTTGAACTATTATGCTGAGATGGAGGTGCAGTCACCTGTTTAGCTCTGCCATTACGTCTGGCAGAACCTATAAGCAGTCATGGTGCAAGCAGGGTTTGGGCCCACAGGGGCTGGCTCCAGAGTCTGTTCTTTTCAGGTGGCTGTCTTCCAGGACACTCTTCCCAGTGTCAGCTTTTCAGGCAGGGCAGCGTCTGCCTTCTTCAATACTCTGCCCCTTGCCCCTGCCGTAGACACTGTAGTCTAGTAACTGCTGACTGCAGCTGCGGCTAGAGGTGATCTGCTTTATCCTATTGTGGGGCTGAGGACCCATCAGCTCTCCAGGGTTTAAGGGGCTGGTGACATGTAGTAGGCACTGCCCTCTTGTGTGGCTTTTGGCAATGGGGTCATCATCCACTCACCTGGACTGTGGTCCTTCTTCCACTGGGACAACCAAAACCCCCGAAGTTTGAGATCCTTAAAAATGAGCAGGCTCTGTGGACACAGGAAGGACATACTGGGGCTCCGAGGGCAGTAATTTCGGGTAGCATTTAAGGTACACATTCCTCCCCAGAGACAGGACTGTGGCCTGAGTTTAGACAACTATGGGGTCCGGGCCCATCTCCAGGCATACCGCCCCCACTGACTTACCACCGAGGCTGTGACAGGCTGCTTGGCCATCCCTCCGTAGGTCACCATGGTTCCTCCAGGCCTGGAGAGTCCGGAAAGGACAGAGTGAGAGCAGCAGAGATGAGCCATTCTTGTGCCTGTCCTGGCACTTCTATTCCAACCCTGGTTCCTAAACCTGGCTCTCAGAATCCAGGGGGAAGTTTCAAAAAACAGATTCCTAGGCTCAACCCCAGACTTAATGAACCAAGGGGCAAGGATCTACGTAAAAACAACATACATGCACTCCTCCAGATGACCCAATGCTCACTCAGCCAGGGCTGGGATGCCCCCACTCTAACCTGCCCATCTAGCCTGACACAGGCTTGGATGAGGTGCTACAAAGAAGCCGCTCTGCTGAGAAAAGCTGTTTGAGCCTCTCTCCTGTTTGACTGTTGAGGGGGTGTCAGGGAACAGGTCCTGACAAGACAGTCGCCACCTTCCTCTATGCCGTCGTCCTCACCATCCCTCAGCTGTACAACTACTGTCCTCTCACTTTTCCTGGGAATTAGCATTTGCAGATGAAGCGAGGAGTCCAGACCCATGCCAGTGCCTTGCCAGCATACCTGTGAGCTGGGTAGAGCTGGACAGCACTGCAGACAGGAGCTATAAGTTAGGATTCCTCATGCCTGAGTGAACACCTGCATTCCCCTCTCCACTCTCTGGCTCTTATAGGAGTTTGTTGACCTGAGGCACATTTTGGGACAAGGGACACTCTATTAACTACAAAATGGAAGAAGCGGCTGTGAGGTAGCGACTCTGGCTCTGAAGCTGGTAGGTAGTTTGGTTTTGCTCCCCTCAGTGGTCACCTGCTCTAGCAAGTAGCTCCTGTGGGTATCAGCTCATCCCCTTGCTCCCTGACTACACTCAGTAGATCAAACAGGTAACATTTACAGGGTGGTTACTGGGTGTCAGGCACAGGGTGGGGCGTTTTACACCTATGGGTTGAATGAATCCTCATAGTAGCCTTAAGGGAGCATAGTCATTACCCTCATTTGGCAGAGGAGAAAACTGACGATCACCCCGATCTGTACAGTGATTTATGTGTCATCCTGTGTCCTTTAAACTGCTGAGGCAGAAAGGGCTTAAGCCTGGGCTGTCTCACACGTATTATTTAACTTTTCATAGGTCCGCTGCTAGTAAGTAGCAGAGCTGAGACTTGAACCCAGAAGTTTGGTTTTTTTTTTCAATCCTCGACCTTCATTTTATTGAGCATTTCAGTCTACATCCAAATTTGTTATTAAAAATTAAAAAAAGGCACATCTTACATTAGGAATGCCAGGTCTGAAAAACACTTTTTGCATCAAGTTTATATTATAAATAAATGACTAGTTTCTTTTCACATCAAAATTCCCATAAAAATTATATTCCCCCATCCCAGTTTTACCTGTAACCATGATAAATGAAAACCATGAAAAATTTAAATATGATGTAAAATTTTAAATGTGATAGGTGTAAAATCTATCAACAGCTTTGAAGTAGCAGTTGTAGAGTGTGGGCATACAGTTATTCCCAACGTGCAAATATTGCCATAATTCAACACTATTTGATTCCGTTGCAAAAATTAAACATTACACAGGGTTGAACTATACACTTGAGGTCTCTAGCAGTGCTACTCTGGTCTGCTCCAGGGGAGTGGGCTCCAAAGTTGAACCCAGCCTTTCTGTTGCTGAGCAAAGCTTCCCCCTCCTCTGAGAGATGGGATCGCAGGTGGCCCTGGATGCTGCCTGGCGTAGGGCTGATAAGGTGTGCTCAGGAGTCACGATAAGGCTTGGGTTACTGTGGGGTCAATTCCAGCTCTCCTGCATCCTCAACCTCAGGTAAAGTGAATACCCTCTCTGGGCCTTGTATAAATGGGGACTGGAATAGTACCCCTTGCCTTAGTGGTTGTGGAAGGGTATATCAAGTGTTCAGCACAGTCTGGTACATAGTGAATGCCCAGGGATTTCTGCATATGAGACTCATCTTCCCACTTAGCCCATGACTTCTAGAGGGTTCCTCAGGATCTCAGCCATCTCTGTACCCTGAAGCTAGTGAGTGCTGGCAACTATGTGTCAGCTGATGGGGTGGAGGGAATTTCTGTAGTAGTAGGGCAGTATCCTTTCAGGCCCTCTAAAGTTAACATTAAAGGAAAAAAAGAATGGAAGGAGGCACTGCCACATGGTTGACTGCTTCTCGCAGGTAGGATGACAGGAAACTTTGTGCTTCAGTTTTCCTTTGTAGTTTTATATACTTTCAAAATATCTTGTAGTTGTATAATAGTACAGTGTTCTAAAATTATAATTTATTTTTAAAAGTTAATAAGTTAGGACTAAGTATCATTTAAAGATGCCCCTGGTGGGGTTTATAATTACTTTCAAATAAGATGTTAAAACTGTCAGAGATGGGGGCCTCCCTGGTGGTGCAAGGGGTTAAGATGCAACCTATGAACCTATCCGCAACCACTATAGCATGAGTTGGATCCCCGGCCAGCCAGGCAACTACCCACATGGCGCAGCAGAACTCTCCTGACTCGCCCCCTGCTCCCCTCAGCAGTGTATTTCAGTCAGTCTGCCTGTTCTGTTCCCCACTCTCTGGTGAATCCTCTCACCCATGCACCTCTGGCCTGTACCCCAGTTCTTGTATGCATAAATAAATAAATCTTTAAAAAAAAAAAGATGCCCCCGGCTTATGAATCCTTAGCTATTCCCCTATCAGAGAGCTTAGCAATCTACTTCTGGGGTCTCTTGGGAAAAAAAGGCTGGATGGGCCTGGTCATCTATAAAGGAGGAGGCTGCGAAAGGAAATGTCCAGGTAATGGGCTTTAACTTTGGTCCCAGACCCTTGGCTCATGCTGGCCATTGGAACTTGGGTAATTACGGTCCTCTCAACTAATGGCCTGCAGAGAGTGCGGGAACTGGCCCTACAGGCCAGCAGGACTTACGCTAGCTGCCGTAGCAGCTCCGTGGAGCTTTTCCCTCCTACACAGTTGAGAGCCAGCCTGGGCTGGGGCACGTCCTGGAACAGAAGGAACAGAAGGAACCTGTGGTGAGGGATCTAGCACTCTGGAAGCTTACTCTAAACAGCACTTTCTTGGCCCAAAGGCTATGTCAGGAGGAGGCAATGGAAGAAATGAGATGTTTTTGTCTTCTAATTCTTTTTTCTCTGCCCAGAAAGTGTCTATTCTTTACCAACTTAATCCTGCTATCTGTTTTGGGATTTAGTTCAAAGCTCACCTCTGGGGAAGGATAGACAAACAGCATGATTCCTCTTCATTTCCCCAAATGCTTTTCTCCTTGGCACTTACAACCCAATTTATCTTAGACATGTTGACCTTCAACTTCAGAAATATTCTCGAGAGAATGTGTTCTTAACACATAACAGTGACTGTGTATCTCTGGTCTCTTCAGAGATTTCAGTGCAAAGTGTCTGAAATGTGGTTGGTTACTCACTGAGCATTCTGGGAATGAATGTTCTGGAAAGTTAAGAGGCTCTGACTTTAGGAAAGCTCCCACTTATTCCCATGTGGCCTTGGTCAAGTCTTACTTTTTCTGAGTCTATAAAATATATACTACCTACTCTGTAGAGATTTTGAAAAAAGATTTATTTGTTTATGCATACAAGAGCTGGGATGTAGGCCAGAGGTATGGGGGGTGAGAGGATTCACCAGAAACAGAGAGTGGGGAGTAGAACAGGCAGATTGACTAAAATACACTGTGGAGGATAGCAGCAGGTGAGACAGGAGAGGTCTGCTGCGACATGTGGGTTAGCTCTGTGGCTGGGTCCCAACTCGTGCTGCAGTGGCTGCAGATAGCTTTATAGTGCTGAGACTTAACCCTGTGCACCATCAGGGAGGCCTCTGTAGAGATTTTGTGAGAATTGTCAGATAAAATGTAAGGTAAGTGCTTCAGAAGTGTTCTTTTTCTCTTCCTTCTCTGTGTCTCAGTTTCCTCAGTTCCCTTCCCAGACTTGAGATTTATATCGGCTTTGTGGCTGATGTGACCCATCACAGATATTCAAACTATAAATCATACGGCGTCTCCTAATTTAGTCTGTCTCTCCTGCCTCCCTCACAGCACCTACTGTATGCTGTACCCCGACTGAGGGAATAGGCTCCATCCTTCCATAAGTGACATAGGGAAGATTCTGAGAGGAACAATGGGCTAGTTCCCAGTTTTTCTAATTCCAATCAAAACTACTTCAGGGAGATAAGCATGGAATGGAGGTGCAATGCCCCTCATCCTAGGTACCTTAAAAAAGTTTTTCATCTCGGGCTTTCTCAGTTCCTCTTCTGTGATAACATGCTCAGCTCCCAGATTCTTCAGCCTGTCGGTCAGCTTCTGGATATCAGGTCTGGAAAGCAAACACAATCCAACTTCCTTGGTCACACGTGCTGGCTTTTAGCACTGAGGCCCCGAGACACTGCTGCCATATCCATGGGACTGTGAGCTTCTCCTTGTGGGTAGCTGAGCCTGGCTCATCAGGATTAAGCCAGGCGTTGAACAGGCGCTAGCCACTCTATTTCATCATAGTCTAACATGCCTTGGTCTCAGTTTCCCCACTGACATGAGAGAGCAAGGCTGAGTGATTTCTATAGCTTCTGCCAGCTCGAGGAAACTAGAAACCACCTGTGCCCAGGAGAAGTCATTGCACTTCACTTTCTTCTGCAGAAAAGATGTGCTCCATTTATCAACCCCCCCCCCTTCAAGGGGCTCCTCAGAGTATTTCATAAATATACTCCAGCCCAGGAGGCTCTTGGGCCCCTTTAGTCAAAGCAAACAGAATTTTTGTTCATGCAACTGAGGGGATGGTTAACTGAAATAAATATCAATTCTCTTCCTAAGACTGGACTTCTGTGACAGACATGACCACAGTGGACCGTGAAGCCTAAAGAAACTGGATGACCTGAAGGAAAGAGAACAATTCAGGAAACTAAAGTCTGTTGCCAACTTGCTGTGTTTTCCTGAATGCTCGCTTCCTCTGAAACTTCCAGATGACAAGCCTGCCCCATCTCCGTCACATCTGTATTTAGTGCACTTCAATGTACCACACAAATGCAAGGGAGAAAGGCCATGAGGTAGACAGTTCATAGAAAGACTAAAATAACTTTAGAACATTCCTAAATATGAACTGTGGTTTTGAAAACACAGGGTTATCTCAAGACAAGAGTCTCAAAATGTGGGCAGAGCATACAAGGCTCCTTTCGAGTTAGACAAGAGCAGGTACAATAGCTCTGAGCGCAAATGGGGGCAGGCATTGACTGAAGTGCTCTGCCATTCAGGGACTGATCAGTGGAATGCCTTGTTAATAAGATTGGAGCCTGGGTGGGGGTCAGGAGTATATCAGCGGACTCACTCTCCCTAAAGTCCAAAATCCAATGTTCAATTTGACCCATCCGTCTGTCAATAAAAAGGCCAGGATCTTGCTCTTGCATCCTGCATCCCACAGCCTGCTCCACAACTCCTGTTTCTCTTCTTTATCAGAATGGTGTTGCTGACGCAACATGTGGAACCTGAACAAGGACACCGCAACATCAAAATCTCTTAGTTGTTCAGTAAGGGCCGTCTCCACTTTCTTCCCCTCCCTTTACATTGCAATTATTCACTCACCCTATACCCACAGCCACCTCATTTTCTGCAGCTCACTTGATCTGGAGCGAGCTGCTTCCTGCAGGATAAGAGCCTGCTGATGCCAGGGCGCCATCTGGTGGAGACATGGGCGCCCTCAGGGATGTGAAGTAGAAGGGCCCAAATCCAGTTCTGGGATTAGGTTTTCCACGCACCTGTCTCTGACAACATTGATGGTTCTCAGGCCCAGGGCCGCGGCGATCTGGATGACTGCTTGCCCAACTCCACTGTTGGATGCATTCTGAATGACAGAATCCCCTGTAGAGGCAGGAAGAGACCCAAGTCAAGCCCAGGAAACCTATAAAATAGCTCAGGGATTTCCAGCCTGGAATCTTACTATTTTAGCGCAAGAGGTGGAGTCCTCAGGCTTAAGAGGGACCTAGAACCTGGCTGCTGAGCCTTCTTGGACCTTTCAGCATTGCTCATTCTTCTCCTAATGCCCCCCAAACTTCTACAACACCCCAGGTGCCTGCCAGGGCTGGGCAACTTGGAGTCCATGCTGGTCCAGCAGGTTATTTAGACCCTGCTGTGTAAAGGACTTTACATGGATGCTTCATTGTTGTCCCTATTGTTATGTTCTCAAGTCTCTGCTTAGGTTATTTCCTTTGCAATGTTTTGTTTATTCTATTTGCCTTGCTTTTGAAATCCCATCTACCAAAGCACAGCTCTAGTGCAGCTTCCTTAGTGAGACCTTCAAAGAATTCCACCCCCTCCCCTTGCCCCATGTGCCCCACAGCACTGAGGCTCTAATGATGCTTATGGTATGCCCTGTCTTGGACCTGGTTTTATATAGGCCCATTTCTTTCAATAGCTTGTAGCTACTTCAGGGAAATTAGAATTGAAAATAGCAGAGTGCATCATAACTAGTCAGGGTATAACTGTTGCATGAAACTTTGATCTCATTTTATATGTGTATATATATATATTCATATAACTGTGTACTGGATTACACTATAAAATGTAGTTCTCACTGTGGGCCAAGATCATAAGGTTGTTTCACCTGATCTGGCCCCTGTCACACTACCAGGGAAGTGGAGAAGCAATATGGGCGCCTGAGGTGTCATAGGGCCCTCATGTGTCCACCACAGCTGCAGCCAAATCAGAAGTGGGATGAGACTAAAGGGGACGAGACACAGGTGATCAAAGTGTCTGCTACTAGGACTTGAGCAAAGGCCCCTGGTCACACCTGCTGGCTTTCTCCACCACAGATTCAGCTGTTAGAATCTGCATTTGCTTTTGTGAGAAGCTGACACTGGTTTTCAGCCAGTCTCAAGTAGCAGCTGGTCACCTGAGTTTATCATACTCCAACATCTCTTGGCCTCAGTTCCCTCATTCGCATGACAGAGATAGACTGGGTGGTTTCTATGGCTCCTGACAGCTCATGGATGTGCACAGTGTGCAGGTAATCCTCCAACAATGGGGGGATAAGAGTGTGTGGGTAACAGGTCCAGCCTCCAGCCATGCTGTGGTTAATTCTGAGGTGGTTTCTCTGAAGGTCTGTAGAGAGATCCACCCAGCAGGCCTGAGTCCCTGATGTCCATGACAGTAATCATTGGCTTTTCCTCCTCTCTCTCACTCTCTCCACTGCCTTACCCCTGCTTCCTGGGATCATTTCCCAAGTGAACTATCTGCCTTCAGTTCCTTGTTTCAGCTCTGCTTTCAGGAGAACCCTAAATAAAACACCTGGCTTTGTCATTTCCTTGCTGAGTGACTCACATAAATAATTTACTTCTTGGACTTCAGTTTCCTTTTTCATAAAAAGGAAGCCTAACAGCAGTGTGCAGTTACTCCAGGCCCTGCGTTAAGCATGACATTGTAGTAATTAACCCTCAGAATTCCTTATTCTCCATTTTACTAATGAAACATTAGGAAAAATCACAAAATGGGGAACTGGAAAAGTGAAGTTGGAGTTCACACCGAGGACGTTTGCCTGGGGCTTGAGCTCTTAACCTCACTGCCCTGCTTTGACGGTTTAATGCATTCAATATGGGTAATGCTTGTCAAGGCACTTGTGGGAACTGGAAAGTGCTTGTAAAAACTGAATGGAATTATGAACACTAAGTTCAGCATTTTAATGAAAACACAGGGGCTGTGTCTATCTTAGCTGGCTTTGTATCCCCAGAGCCTAGCACAGCTCTGTTCATTTTTGCTGAATGACAGAATTCCATCCCAAGCGCTAGGGAATGTGGTCCTCAGCAGTTTCAGGAGCGTACTCCTCATGAGGCTCCAGCAGAGGTTCTAGGAGCCAATCTAACTTCCTTCTGAGTAACAGCCACAACACCACATCCACCCAGGTGAGGGGCCTGTCTTTCCTTCAGGCCCCTCACTAGTAAATTCCCATGGCCTCAGGCTCAGGATTTGGGTCACACCCCAGTCAGGAGTCTCGGTTCCTCGCCCATTGGTGGGTGCCTACCTGGCCGCAGCTGCTCAAAGTCCATCAACATCCTGTAGGCTGTGCAGGGGTTGACACTGAGGGTGGCAGCACTTTGAAGAGGGATGTCGCTTGGGACCCCGATCAGTGCTTCCTCGCTGAAAACAGCCTCAGTCCTCCAGGTTCCTGAGTCAGGGGATGAGTCCAGGGGATGAGGAAGGACCCTCCACTCTGAACCCCAGGCCACCCTCCTCAGTAACTGGGCATCTAGGACACCACACAAGTAATGCTCAGATAAAAGAGAGTCTAGAAGTTCTTTTTCATGCCTTTGCGTTCTCATGAGAATTATATAAGGTAGGTTTGGGTATTCCCATGTGAGTTACCATTTGATTTAGCCAATATCACACTGCTGGTGGCTAAGGATCTCAAGCTACTGGACTCTGAGGGTAAGGCAGTAACATCATGACCAGGACAAGATAAGCTGAGAAAGTCCCATTTCCTACTTAATCCTCATCTCCTCATCCAGGGCAGGTAGACTTGGGTGGTATTATTCAAAAAAGCAAGAAAGTGGAAGTCAAAAGCCTAGATTTGGGACCTGGTTTTGCTAGTCTGTTAGAGCAAAAGCCTACATTTTACTTGCTTAATATGTAAATGACATTGGCAAGAAGAGCCTGATTGGCTTCGCTGAGAGCTGTTGCACAAATCAAATGAGACCATATGGGAAATAAAGAAATCCTTTAAACCAGGGCCTCCCCGGTGGCGCAGCGGTTGAGCGCTGGGTTGCGAAGCTGCCCGCGGCCTCTGCGGCGCCGGTTCGATCCCCGGCTGCTCCCGGGCCACCAGAGGAGGGTCCCACATGGTGCGCAGACCTCTCCTGCTGCCCGCTGCTCCCCTCAGCAGTGCACTTCGGTCCTTCTGCCTGCTCTGCTCCCCGCTCTGGCTCTGGTGAATTCTCTCACCCTCCCGTGCTTCTGACTGTACCCAGTGCTTGTATAAACAAAACAAACAAACAAACAAAGAAAACATGCCTCTATAAAAAAAAAAAAAAAAAAAAAAAAAGAAATCCTTTAAACTGGACAGAAGTGATCACCCGCTTCCAGTTCCAGATGAGAATTATAAAATGTCAGTACTAAGAAGACCCTTAGAGTATGGACTGTTAGCTCCCCATTCAAAGGGTAGGAAACTGAGGAGGTGACTTGTCCACAGCTCTCTAGATTGATTTTGCTAATGGGCCACAACCTGTAGCTTGAGGGTCCCTTAGGGTCATGGCACAGAGAGCAGACTTTATTTTAGTGAATGGAATCTTCTCATGGGCTTTAAGAGCAGGGATCTGAGTTGTGCTCTGAGATCACCATGTTGCTGTGTGAAGAAGACTGATGGGTAGGGCGGGGCAGAGTGGAAACGAGGAGGCCAAACAGGAGGCTTTTTGTGGGGTCAGGATATGAGAAGATGGTGACTTAGACCAAGACTTTGGCAGTGGAGATGAAGAAAAGTTGATGGGTTCAAGTTATATTTTGAAGGTAAAATCAAATTTATTTGATGTGCACCGGCTAAGGGGTGACAGGTCACTCCCCATGCAGGTAGGATCCTGTGCCAAGCAGAGGTGAAGAGAACAGATCTTGGAGTCAGCCAGATTCAAGCCTTGGCTCGGAGCTGGTGGCTGTTGTGTCTTGGGACCCTTGGCCTGTGTCTCTAAAGCTCAAGTTGTTCACTCAGTCCTTGGTTGCTGGGGGTCGAACACTGCCCTGGTGCCACAGGTCCAGCTGTGGGGAGGAGGAGGCAGCTGAGGTGATTACTAATTTGCTGCAGGAGAGGAGGATAGTATGGGCTTCAGAGACCAGGAATTGAGCACAGGAGTCTATCTGTGGCTGAGAAAATGAGACTAGGAAAACTGGAGGATTCCTTTAGAATCCAGGAGGTGGCCTGGCATCCCTGGGACTCCACCCAGCCTGGTTTTCAGTCTTCATTGTCATTTTCATAATCATCGCCTGCATTCATCTTGGCTGGCATAGATTCTGCTCTATGGTGTAGGGCTTTCTGTGCATGAAATCAAGGGTGTTTCTAATTTCCCTTAATAGTATGACAGTGGAAATCCAGCCCTTGACACAGATTTCTGGGGTCAGTAGACTTTTCCCTTTCTCAAAAAAAACTGGGTGGGATGGAGCAGGGTCCATGGTTGGCCCCATGGCACTACGGGTTTTAAAGTAGAAACTGTTAGGCTTTGGAGTTAAAGAGACCTGCTTAAAAACTCCAGCTCAGCCACTCACTAACGTCACTTTGAATCATTACTTCATCTTTTTTTGAGGTTAGTTCTCCTGATCTCTGAAATGCAGGGTGAGGAACTGGTTTGAAGGTTAAACACAGGATATCTGTACAAAACATCACTGTGCCTTGTCCATCATCAGTGTCTACCCCCTTTTGCTTTCCTTTACTGATCATAATTCCCAGGCTCTGGATCTGAGGGCCAACATTCCTCACTCTTTTTTTTTTTTTTTTTTTAAGATTTATTTATTTATACAAGAACCAGGGTACAAGCCAGAGGCCAGATGTGTGGGAGGGTGAGATGATTCACCAGAGAAAGAGTGGGGAGCAGAACAGGCAGACTGACTGAAATACACTGCTGAGGGGAGCAGCAGGTGAGACAGGAGAGGTCTGTTGTGCCATGTGGGTATCTCTGCAGCCGGTGGGGATCAAACTGGCACTGCAGAGGCTGCGGACAGCTTCAAAGAGCTGCGCTTAACCACCTGCACCAACCAGGGAGGCCCCATCATTCCTCACTCTTATGCAGACCCTAAAGCCTTTCTATCACCCAAAGCAGGAGAAGGCCAGCTATGGCTCATGAGCCAAATCTGGCTCACTACTGTTTTTGTATATAAAGTTTTATTAGCACATAGCCATGTTCACTCTTTGTGTTTCATTTGTGGTTATTTACAATGGCAATGTTGAGTAGAGGCAGTATGACCTGCAAAGATGAAAGTTTAATTGGCGTAGGGTAAAGAAAATGTCAGGCTTTTCTGCCCTCCCGCCATCAGGATAGATGATGGATCCTTGCGGTCCTGAATGCATGCCTGATGGCGGGCACCTGGAATAGGGTGTGGGCAGAGGTAGGATGGGATTCACTTGGGCTAAGACTGTGCTTTTAAGGGCGGCGTCACGGGGATGCCAAAAGAAGCCGAGGAGAAGCCAAAGAGAAGCCAAGAGAGAAGAAAAGAAGCAGAAGAAGCAGAGAACGCAAGAGAGAGTGCGGATTTGCTGGGGGCTGGGAGGACTGCCAGCCTCCCGGCCCCCCAGCATCCCTGCCTGCCGTGTACCTGGTAATCCTAATAAAAGCCTGCAAAACCACTGAGGACTCTGACTCCTCCTTTACCTGGTCTGCAAGGGATTAGAAAACCTGCACTGTTCCCGTTCCTGCCCCTACAATTGGCCGTTTAAGAAAAAACCTGCCAACCCCTGATCTAATATGTATAGAAATTTATTGTTTGCAAATAGTTGCTGGAATTCCCTCAGGTGATCTGCATGAGTTTGCTGAGATATGAAAGGCATGGACAGTTAGCTCCACTGTGGAGATGATGAAACTGAGGCGCGAAGTAGCTGTGACTTAAACAGGGGAGGTGGAAGGAGAATGTGCAGCTGAGTCCCAGGCCAGTGTTCTTTCTATTGGATTCTGTTCTGTTTTGGGAGGATTCTGAGAGTTTCCACTGAAAAAGTTTGCAAAGATCTATCCCCACTTACTGGCCCAGTCTCCCCTGGGGTGGGTTGCAGATGGGAAAAAGCTGGTGATGGGCACAGCAATAGCAGGGCAGCTCAGAACCACGAAAATGACTCAGAATTGGCCTGAGGACCCGTCTATCTAATGATCGCCACTGCTACTAAACCAGAGTCTTCATGAGAAAAAACACCATGTCTGTTCACTGTGTACACTAGAGCTGGCATGATGTGAATGCTCATAAAATGCTTACTGAGTAAAGTGCGTTAATTATAGTCCTGACCATTATAAAATCCTCATCCTCTCTGACCGATACCTGGTTTAAAAGACTCAGCTTTTCTCCAAGCAGAAAACCCTGTTCTGGCCACCACCACACATGCAATTAACTGTATGCCTGGCAGATGTCCTTTATTCCTCTCTCCAAATCTAATTACCATGTTCTGTTAGGTTAGCTCCGAAAACCATCCTGTCTTCTCCAGGCCTATGGCGTTGTCTGTCAGACCCTCTCACCATCTGAAGCCTGAACTACTCAGTTACCTCCCTACTGACTTCCTGCTTCCAGCTTCTGCCCTTCTAACCCATTCTCTGCATGGCACAAATCTGATCGAATCATCCTCTCCTTAACTCTTTATCAGGCCCCTTCTGCCCTTGGGCATGAGCCCTCTGTGACTGGGCCCCAGCCAACCTCTCAGCCTCTTCTCTCCTATCTCATTCAGAACCCAGCGACAGAGAGCTGCCTGCAGTTCTGACAGTCCCGCGCCTCCTCCCATCTCCACACCTCTGCACATGCTGCGTGCATCCCTGCCTGGGCCCTTCCTCCCTGGGTCCACTGGCTCACTTCTCCAGGAGGCCTTTCCAAGATAGGGGACGCTTGCCTTTGTGTCCATCCTGTGATTAGAGCACTTATTTTTTTTTTTAAAGATTTATTTATTTCTGCATACAAGAACTGGGGTACAGGCCAGAGGTGTGAGGATTCACCAGAGAGAGTGGGAAGCAGAACAGAAAGATGTACAGGAATACATTGGAGAGGGTATCAGTGGGCGAGACAGGAGTGGTCTGCTGTGCCATGTGGGTTGCTCCCTGGCCAGCCAGGGAGCTGGTCCAAAGCACCAGTCAGTAGCCAGTGAATCCTTGCAGCTCAGCTGCTAACCTAGTTAAGCACTTTCACTCCCAGCTGTCTGTCGAGTCGGGGGAGAAGCTGTCTATTGGCAGCTTCTTTGATCTTGGAGAAGCAGAGCTTCTTGTAGACTTCTGTTACTGTTTTTTTTTTTTTGTTTTTTTTAAAATGTGTACCATCTTTTTCTTTCTAGAATTGCTACTTCTTCACCTCTGAGACTGTCAATCACAAGGCCCTACCTACCCTCTATACCACAGAGGTGAGCAATAGACTTAATCAAGGCAATTAATTGGAATGGCCCAATCCTGTGCCCCATTAACAGGTTCATGGGTGGGCAAGGACCTGGCAGGGTTGGTCCCAGCCTTCCTGGGGGAGGGATCATGGTTATACTGGATATATTGCGGAGCATGTGCTCATTTGTTTATTCTGAGGACGATGTAAATCTCAAGTTATTGGTGGCCATCTATGAAATTAAAAAACAATTCATCCATTAAAGTTCCATTCCAATGAAGCCTCCTCCATGAAACACGGTCCTTCCCTGCCTGCCTCTCACATCAGCCAGAAGCTCTGCTTCCTGTCAGCCTGTGGTGCTCCCTTCACTGAGGTTATTGGAGATTTCTTCAGTTAGAGTTTAACCTCCTGGAGGGTGGGGGCTGTCTTATTTAAACTAGCCATTGTCCCTCCCAGCAGGGATTTAGGGGTGTAGAGGTTCAGAGAATCACAGTTCTAATCAACATGGGCCCAAGGAGATGATGCAGAAGAGCTTTGCTTCCAGAACAGAACAGAACTTCTGTTTTCCTTGTCGGCTCCCACTCCTACTAGAGGTAAGTCTATGGATGCAATAATAAACTGCCTGGCTTAGTTACACTGAGTCAAAGAGCAAATGTTTACCTGTGGCTGAAATCAGATCTGGAACAAGGAAAGACTGCAGACACCTGGAGAAACTCACCCAAGCCAGCACTTGCTGGAATCACCCAGTCTCCTGGTTTCACCGCAGTCACACTGCTGCCCACTGCTACTACCTGCCCGACACCTTCATTCCCTCCAACAGCAGGCAACTTGGGCAGGAAGCCGTAATTTCCTAAGGGAGAAGAGCACAGTGGGTGACCAGTGAGGCCTGGGCAGCAAGACCATGAATTCTGGAATCAGATAGACCAAAGCCCCATGTGGGCCTCTGCCGTGTAGATGACCAACCTCTCTGAGTCTTAGCTTCTTCATTGTAAGGGTAAGTTTCCTTCCTGCACAAGGCCTCCATGTCCTCATTTGTAAAGGGGAGTGGAAGTTTACGCTTGATATACTGTAGCAATGTCCATGGTTATTATGAGGATTAGATAAGATAAAGTATGAATTACGTCCGGTATATTAGCACTTGACCACAGTTGGTTTATTCCCCACCACAATTTTGAGTCCTTCTGATTCTGGAAAGGCCTCACATTCCAGAGAGGGGAGGCCTTGGGAAGGGCTCACATTGGGCTCATCTGGAGAACAGCTGCCAGCTGCCGCTAATCACAGGAATTTCACACCCACACCTGAGGAGGAATAAAAATGAGGTGGCCGCTATGCAAAAAAGCTAATTAACATAAGCCACAGAAACCAAGGTTACCTTGGATCATATTTATGTCTGCTGGATTGATCGGGGCCGCCAGCATCTTCACATGGACGTCTGATCCGCCCACAGCGGCGAGCTCCTGGTTCTTCAGTCTGTGCACAAAGTCAAAGAGAGATGTTAACGTCACCCAGGCTAGACAGGGCATCTTTTGCTCAAATCATCTCCCCAAAGTAGGTCAGGTAGCAAGATTTTTGAGCTGCCACTGTGTGCCCAGGAATTAGGGTTTTGTTAGAAAAGGCAGAGGCACCGAAGGGATCAGCACAGGATACAGGTTCACTCTTTCATTAACTCTGAATGGAAAATCCCCCCTGACCTCTCAACCCATGCTCACGCCAGGGCAGAAAATATTTCCAACTTCTGCTGGACTGGGTTAGCCTTCTGTTTTCCAAAACTTGCTTGATTATAAGGATCAGGTGGTGTGCTAATATAGATTCTCAGGCCCCGGGTCTGACCTGTTGAGCCAGAATCTTATCCGTAAGGGGCATCCTAAGTAGTTCTTATGAGCATGCATAAACCGGGGCTAGCTCCTTTGTTCTCCACCCACCGCGGTCCCCTGACTCCCCACACTAGGGGAGACAAGGCATTTCCCTAAGCTGCAGAAGGGGTAAAGGAAACAGAGATGGGATTCAAAAAGCAGCCACTGGAGGGGTGTCCCTTCTGCCTGAGGACTGAGATCTGAGGGTCCCAGGTTTGAAGCCCCACTGCAGGATGGCTATCATTGCGTTGGCAAGTTTCCTTTCCTGCTCTAGGCCTCCATGTCCTCATTTGTAAAACAGGGGTGGGAATTTACGCTTGCACACTTCCAGAGTCTATCCTCGTTCAAGTCTATGTAGTCACTCCCTTTGCTGATGGTGGGCCCCACACACCATGGACCTAACATCTATCCCACTGGAACTTTGGTTAATGCACAAAACCTGCCGAAGGGCTCTTGCGGAAGGCCCTTTGACAATGTCCACACATTACTTTTGTTTTTATAAAAAAAGAGACTCTTTTGTACACTAAGGTGGGCCCTCATGACTTTAGCTACCCCAGGCTGCTTCTGTCTTTCACCGAACCCCTAAGACTTCATGTGAACAATGCTTTCCTCTGCCCAAACGCAGCAATTGTTTTCCTTATTTTCACTTACACATAGAACTGTCAACCAGAGGCTCATAGCATTAGACAGAAGTGTCACTATATTAAGTTGATGTCATTCTACCCATTTCCTGCAGGAATCTGACCTTTCACCTGAAGCTACATCTTGGGGTAAAGGTGTGATTTTCAAGAAATGTGCAATAGTAATAATGGTGGCAGATATTTATGAGGTGCTTATTATACACTAGGTTCTGTGCTAAGGGCTTTAAATATACAATCAGATTTAAGAGAGAACACTCATGTGAGGAATATATCCATAATCCCACATAAAACTTAAAATAACTGGGCAGGCCTTATCTACTCTCAAAGCTAGTGCTCTTATTCACCTCCCTCTACATCATCCTAAAGTTAATCTGGGGATCCCTTAGCTGGGATCCCTGTACTGGCTCATGACCAATATAAGGGAGACATGTCTTAGCAGCATTGAGGAGCAGCTCCAAAAGCCAAAATAGAAATCTTCTTTACAGAAAATGGTTAAGTAGCAAGATGCTGATGACCAGGGCAAAGAGAATAAAGGCTTAAAAAATGTTTTTAAGTATTAAGAAATGTCTGTATTAATACACAGCAAGAGTACACAGCATAGTAATGATAATAGCTACTGTTTGAGTGCTTATCAATCAGCACTCTGCTAAATGCTTCCCATCCTATTATTCTGATCTTATAGCCGAGGAACAAAGCCACGAAAGAGGTAAAGAATGTGCTGAAGGCCCCCAGAAGTAGTAAGTGGCTGATTTGAACCTGGCAGTCCAAATTTAGAGAAGGGGGGCTGACCCCACACCAAGCTGAAGGTGGCAATATGAGCACCAGTCTGGGGGACCTGCCTGTGGCGACTGAGGGGAGTCAGGAGCTCCACAGCCTCCCCACCAGAATAAGGAGGGAGGCATCAGCCTGACAGTGATGTTCTATGAATGTGTGTGTAAGGCCTAGTTCTAGAGAAAAATCCTGCCTAGAGCAAGTTCATTGTAGATTAGCTGCCCCTTTTCATTACTCATTCTGCGTCTCTCTTGCACTTTGACAGATAACCAGTCTTTCTGTTAGCTGACAAAGTCCATGTGCTTAAGCTACTTAAAGGCATTTTTTCTGCACATTTTCTGCTTGCTCTTCCCTCAGTCCAGAATTTCTTTTCTACAACTTCTCCATGAAATGAGAAATTCAATTCACTCTTTAAGATCTGGCTTAAGTTTTACTTCCCCTAAGACATCTTTTGGCCCTCTTCTTGTCCCTGGAAAAAAAATGTATCACTTCTTTTGTCCTCAGTGCTCTCATCACACAGAAGGGGTGACTATTCCATTTCAGACCCACTGTCAGTTTACTGCTTTTTAGTTTATAAAACACACACACTCAATTAATCACAAGGCAGAAATTCACATTCATTTTCCAAAACTCAGGGTCAGCTATACTGCAGAACCATGGCTCCCCCAAGTGCCTGTTGGGGATGGGGACAGGGGCAGCAAGCTATACTCTGACACACTGTTTCTATAGCAAAATGAATGAATATTTACACTAAGTAGGATGAATAACCTACCATGTAAAACTTCATGTTACCACGTAAAACTTCATGACCGTGTAAAAACTTCATGTTACATGAGATTTTTGCCTCCACATGTGTCAGTTTCCAAATCTTTACAGATTTGGGAGTTGCAGATATAATCTGAATTTGAAAACACGTATTTCAGATTCTGATTTCAGTGCTCTTTAGACTTACCACCTAGTTTATAGGTGGAGTGTGTGTGTGTGTATGGGGGGGGGGTCTCCCTGTTTGACTGTGAGCTCAAGGAGGATAGAGAAGTTTTAGTTTTAACTCAGTATTTAGCAGCATCTGGGACTAGAACAGTGCCCAAGAATGCATCCTAAAGTAATTGTCCTTTCCTCTCCAGTGAGGAAATGGGGTATAAAAGTGCATCATTTAGGGATCAGGGGAGGGCCTCAAACCACAGATTTAGCTATTGAGGTGTGTACTTGGTCTTCCTGCTTCTGCACTGTTTGGGAAAATACTCCATGAAGGATGAGCATAAATAAAAATGGAGATTATCCATAAGAGAATTCAGTCTAAGCAAAATCCCAGAGCTCTTTTCCTCGAGGCAAAGTGCGAATCAAATTTGCATTAAAATCGCACTTCTTAACAACAATGTAATATATATAATAATAAAAAAATAAAATCACACTTCTTAAAAATCTTAAAAATTTAGATGGCCAGGGTCAAGAGGAAAATAAAGGCTGATCTCAGTTCACAGATAAAAGGTACAACATGGATTTAGAGTGAAACATTCCTGGATTTGAACCCAGGCTGCCATTTACCAGCTAGACAAACCTCAGAGTACTCATTTGTAAAATGGGGAAACACTAGAAGTCAGGTCATAGGGTTAATGAATTAACATACTTATGGCATTTGCTTAGCGCTTGATATCCTAGATGTTGAAGAAAAGGCAGCTGTTATCAGTGGTAGGAATATTCAAGGAAACCCCTGAGGCAACTAGCTGGCTCTATTCTAAAAAGAATCGCTGAAGGAAGACAGCAACTTTTGGGGAAATTCAAGTAAATTTAATTCAATAAACATTCACTGACAGTCCTACTGAGTGACAGGTACTTTGCCAAGGGGTTCACAGATGAACAAAAAAAATTCCATGCCTGGGAGCTTGACTGAGTGGGAACTCTGTGTGGAAATCCAAGGGAGAAGGTTATCACAAGGCCAAGCTGGTGGTGCAGCGGCAGAAAGCATAAACTGGCAAGAGGAAAGCAAAGGATTAGCAAATGGGCTTTTTCTGTTGGGGACTGAAGGATTAACAGTTTACTGGGTGGACCGAGAGAGGGAAGAGGGCTTTTCTGCTAGAGGGAATGGCAAAGAATCCATTCTTTGACAGTCAGGTGCTGTTTGGATTGGAACTGTGGCAAGAGAGGATTCGATAACCTGCCATCTCTTAAAATATGAAATGGCATTGATAGCACTTGGTGACCAACTGCATGTGGAGGCAGTGGGAATTTTTTGATGGCTTCCGGGCTTCTGGCTTGGGCATCTGGGAGAAAGGAGGAGTGGTTTGTAGTGGGGAGGGAGGTGTTCTATTTGAAGCTTGAGGCCAGCAGCCTGCAGTCTGGGAGGAAGAGGAGTTACTCTGATAGACATACAGAGCCAGAGTCTGCTGTGTGTCCTTGCAGTCCAGGATAATAGAGGTGATATGGCTGGACGTAAGATGACAAGTAGGGGGCCTCCCTGGTGGTGCAGGGGCTAAAGTTTCAGCGCTATCAAGGTATCCACAGCCACTGACGCATTTGGCATGAGTTCGATCCTCCACCAGGGAGCTAACCCACATGGCATAGCAGACCTTACCTGCCTTTCCCGCTGCTCCCCTCTGCTTATTTCCTTCAGTGTATTTCAGTAGATCTGCCTGTTCTGCTCCTCTCTCTCTGGTGAATCCTCTTGCCCCTGCACCTCTGGCCTATCCCCCAGTTCTTAAATGCATAAATAAATAAATATAAAAAAATGAAAACTAATGCTGACAGTTTACTAAACTCCCAAGCATTGTGCTCTGCATTTTATATACAGGATGTTTAGTTCTCAAAACATCTCTCTCTCTTTTTTTTAATAATTGTCTTTTCTCTCTGGTTTCTTGAATTTTTTTTTTTTAAAGATTTATTTATTTATTTTATACAAGCACTGGGTACAGTCAGAAGCGCGGGAGGGTGAGAGAATTCACCACAGCCAGAGCTGGGAGCAGAGCAGGCAGAAGGACCGAAGTACACTGCTGAGGGGAGCAGCGGGCGGCAGGAGAGTTCTGCGCACCATGTGGGACCCTCCCCCGGTGGCCAGGGAGCAGCCGGGAATGGAACCAGCGCTGCAGAGGCTGCGGGCAGCTTCTCAAACCAGCGCTTAACTGCTGCGCCACAGGGGAGGCCCTCAAAACATCTCTTTAGAGTACCATCACCCCAATTTACAGATGGGAAACTGAAGCTTAGAAGTAAC